ACCATCTGCACCAACGTCTGGTTCCCAACAACCACGTGCACCGAGGTTTGGTTCCCAACAACCATGTGCACCAAGGTTTGGTTCCCAACAACCATCTGCACAAACATCTGGTTCCCAACAACCATGTGCACCAACGTCGGGTTCCCAACAACCACGTGCACCGAGGTTTGGTTCCCAACAACCACGTGCACCGAGGTTTGGTTCCCAACAACCACGTGCACCGAGGTTTGGTTCCCAACAACCATCTGCACCAACGTCTGGTTCCCAACAACCACGTGCACCGAGGTGTGGTTCCCAACAACCATCTGCACCAACGTCTGGTTCCCAACAACCACGTGCACCGAGGTTTGGTTCCCAACAACCATGTGCACCAAGGTTTGGTTCCCAACAACCATCTGCACAAACATCTGGTTCCCAACAACCATCTGCACCAACGTCTGGTTCCCAACAACCACGTGCACCGAGGTGTGGTTCCCAACAACCATGTGCACCGAGGTGTGGTTCCCAACAACCACGTGCACCGAGGTGTGGTTCCCAACAACCACGTGCACTGTTTAGTTTGGCAGCATACAAACAGTTTTGGTGGACATGGGTGACAGTATAACCCTGTAGGTAATGACGTAACTAGAAGTACTGTAATATTGTCAGATGAACTTGTGGGAACTCTTCTGGTGCAGGTAAAGTTTCTACTTGCACGGTGAAAGCGGTGGAGTTTTGTTTTGCTCAAGCGAGTTGGACTGAATCCAAATATCAAAACCAAGAGTTATTTCCAGTGTTTTCAAAGTAGTTTTTTAAAGATGTGCGACTCTGATGTTGCTGAAAACAACCCTGTAAACGATGAACTCTGTGGAGTTCAGTTCTGGATCTCCAACAGTCCCGGCCCAGCGAGATCCAAACTTTACACGATATTGTGAAAGTCACGTTTTAAAAATGACTAAAATCCAGCTGGTCTCAGAAAACACATTTAGTTTGTAAAGTTCTGTAAAAATACATTTAAAAAAAAAAAAATTATCTGTAATTCTCAGATCAGTCGTTCAGAGGTTTCATTCACTTTTAATGATTTTAGTTTTTAAATGTTTGCTGCACTGTGACAGATCTTTGTAATAATGAACAAACACTAAAAGTCTGTGTGTGCAGGTGAAGATGTGCTGCAGTGTTTGTAGCTGAAAGTGTTTCTTACGTTTTGTTTTTATTCAATCAGCTGCTCTGCTCCAGGTCATTAATTACCGCCAAGTGTTTCGTTGCTGCGTTCGTTCGTCGTTTGGTCGTCGTCGGTACAAAAAGACAGTTTACTTTATAAACAAAAACAGGAAGTGTGTAAATGTCTAATATGCAACAAGACTTCTGATTTGCTCTTTAATAGATTTCTGGCTTTTCAAAGCAACTTTTAGTAAATTTAGAGACAAAAGTTTTAGTTCGTCTTCACTTGAACGTTGTCAGTGTTGAAACGACACGTTTGTGATTAAAAAACAAAATTGTATGTCTGACCATCCCTGATCGTTTGGGAATTTGTTGCACTGCATTTTTATGTTGCGATAAAACATTTATTCTGACTGACTTCTTGTAAAACACTCAAGTATCACATTTTTAAATATTACTGCACTGTTTTTCTATTTCAGTGTTTCTGCCTGGTCTTAAAATGTAATTTCTCAATTTTAGGCCTTAAACTATCTCATGTCCTGATTTCCTAAAATACATTTAATTGAATCCTAAATGTGTTTATTTATTTGTTTCCTCTTCCATCAACACTTTTTAATAATCTGTTGGCGTTTATTTGTTATAAGGTTTTAGACGAGTTCATGTAAGAAAACTACAAGTCCCATCATGCCGCAGCCCGACTGGAGGAAATGTTCAAACGTTAACCAGATGCTCGGCTCCTGAAACTGCTTCATTGCTGTCTGAATGTAATCAACTCTTTGAAGGAAATTTGACAAACTCATTTTTTGTAATTTGCATAAATCTTGTTTTATAATAAACGGGAGTAAATTTAATGACGTCACAGAAAGAGTTCCAAACGGAGCAGCTCCACACAACTTCAAGCAGCTTCGCCTCCTGAAACTGAACCGATAAAGAAAAGCTCTGCTTCACTTCGCGCTTCAGTTTTAATTAAACCCGTTTAGATTATAAATGTGCCAACGGGGCGGGGTCCCTCTGATCCAGTCTGAAGCTGAACCGTTTCCATCGATTCCTCCAGATCGTTTCATCGTGGATCCAAGAACCCGTCTGGTTCCATCAGTTCATTCTCCAGAAAAACCAGCACGGATCTGGACTTCACATCCGTTCCTGACCGTCTGTGGAGCTGCCCGGGGCGCCCGCGGACCCCAGGCCGCTCTGCTCCAGCTCGGCTATCACCGCCATGTGTTTGAAGTCCGCGGGACGGCGGTTGAACGTCTCCAGCAGTCGGAACGTCTCCTGCCTCTGCGTGCCGTAGAACAGCTGCACCTGATTGGCCAAGCACTGAGCCTGGTGGATGGTCTGGAAACAGGACGTCGTTTATAAAAATCATTCGGTTTTTACCGTTCGGGTTCAAAACCCTCGTTCAGCTCCGACTTACGATAAACTTGGGGTCCATCTCGGCTGTCATGAGCACGATGCCCTTCTCCTGCCGCAGGTCCGAGTAGTGGTAGAGGATCAGCTGACTCGGAGCGTTCTCACCCAGCGTCTGAGCACAAACAGGAGAGAACATCAATGTTTAACTTCTGCAGGACGAATAAACGCTTTACTTTGGGAGGATTTACTGAACTTTACAGTCCACCGGTTCAAACGAGCGCGCTGCGGTTCTGTAGTAAACGTTTCAGAGCATCTCACTGAGCCGACGGCTGGAAAACAACCTTCACCTGGACGTTCCCAAAATATCTCCAAGTTTGCAGAGGTTCTCAGTCCCACGTGAATAAAGTAAATACGTACACGTCGTACCTACCTACCTATGTAATTACCTACGTATACTCCGACCTACATCCCTCCACCACATGAAATATTTAAAACACTTCTTTTTTAATTTGTGCAACAGTTGCCAGTTAGATTTTTGTACATTCAGGAGCACGAGAACTGGCTCAAACCTGCCCGTCTTATTTCTAAAGTACCGTATTTTTCAGCCTATAAGTCACAGGTTTTTTTTTGCATAATTTGCATCCCCTGCGACTTATAGGCCGAAGAGACATATTTATGGATTTTTTCCCATATTTATAAACTATTTTTTGGCTGAGATATGACCGTTTTCATTCAATCTGACTGACAAAAAAGAACAGTACCACTTTCAGCCACTTGATGGCAGCAGAGTAGTAATAGTGTATGGCATGCTGTTGCATCATGTAATAAGTAAACGTGACTATAATGACAAAATCATAAAAGTTCCAAGACAAAAACAACTAGACTTTATTTATTATACTTTATTGTTTTTGTCCTTGAACTTTTTAGAATTTACCATGTCCTGGACGACTGAGAATCTTCATCAGCTTTTAATGACTCAATCGGCCTGCCATACCCTCTCCACCTTCATTCTGCTCTCTGCTTGGAGCCGTCAAAACAGCTGCACCACCCGGCGAAATGCAGCTGATTTGACCATCAAAGCGCATTTACTAAGCAAACGTTAGACTGAGACACACCTTTACTATAATTTCGGGGAAACAATTGTTTTTAAGTGTTAATCTTGTTGAATTCTTGTTAAAAGTCCTCCCGTGCACGCTCCCGCGGCCGCCATTTGGCAGCCCATCAGTTTTTGGCACACCAGTCCACATTTCCGGGTTGTCAGCGGTGACGCGTAATAGATGCGACATATTTATGGATTTTTCCACTTTATTAGACAAATTTGGACTGATGCGACTAATAGGACGGATCGACGTGTACGGCGGAAAATACGGTAAGCTCAAAATCATGTGCACGGCCAGGAATACAGCTGTGCGAGCCGTGTGCACAGAAACAGGCTGTGATCTTCAAACACTCAGATTTCAGTGGCGCTGCCGTGAAAACTTCACCCATTTGAGCACGACCAGCACGAGCGCATTTAGCAGATAATTATTTAGGTCAAATAAAATGATTTTTAAAAGCTTGCCCTCGTTATATCCTCAAAACAAACAAAGTTCATATTTTGTAATCAAAAAATTTAGTTTAAATGATCAATGTTTCTTGTAGATTACGTACATGTAATATGACTAAGATTATTTGATGTATTCACTTTTTAAAACCACATTTTGCTTCATGACGCGTTTCTCATTTACATGATCTCCCACACAGGAGCTCGTCTTCTGTCCTGGTGTGAAAACCGATTTAAAGTAGACGCGTCTGAACATTTGATCAGGAGCGGGTCACACAGAGCAAGTTAGGGAGGTGGAGGGGTTCACCTGGACGTTTATCAGGGAGGTGAAGTGCAGCTCGTGTCCGGACCACTGACCCACGAAGAACTCGTAGCCCTCCTTCTGAGGCAGAGCGTAAAGAAACTGCGGAGAAACAGCAGAAGCGTCACCATGGCAACCAGGAGGACCCAACTGTCCCACCCGAGACTGAATTATCGTTCCGTGTTCGTCAGCCGAGCTGCGTTTCCACAGAATCACCGGTTCAGCTGCAGTGATCTCACCATGGGGCAGGTCCTGGATCTGCTGGAAATCCCCTCGTAGACGTGCGACTGCAAACACGAGAGAACACGTGAACACCGCTGCGCCTGACAACCGGCTGCGCTCTGCGAACGCTCGGCTTCAGAGGTGAAGGACAAAAATACAAGCAAGCCTTTTTTTTTTTTTTTAAACAGATGAATAATTTGACAAATAATCATGAAGGTATTTTTCCCACTAAAAAAGGCTGAAAACACAAACTGTCCTTAAATATTTAAAGTCACTTTAACAAAAAGATCAACTCACGGGGATGACGGCGCCGATCGTGTCTTTTGTTGAGAAATATTTCGTCCAGAGCTAAAAGAGTAAAAACGCAACAGTTAAAATAAAATTACTTTTATTTCTTCTCAACTACAGTAATTCACAACAAAATTATCTCCCGAGGCCTTGACGAAAAAAAAAAAAACTGATCAGGTCTGAAGGCGTCACCTGACCCAGGAAGTGGATCTAACAACTAAAAATAAGCTCGACCTGTAAAGGTTTAAAATAAATTAAAAGCCGTTTAAAGAAGCTCCTGATATGACGATTTGAAGATATTCACATCCAGGAGGACGTCGAGCTCAAACTTATGGAAAGCAATTTAATTCAAAATTAAATAAGTAAATTAATAGTGTTATTTAAAATTTATTACTCAATATTCCATTAAATAAATAAATGCTCCCATGAAATAAAACATTTAAGTAGTAATGACTGTTTTTTTAATGCAATATTTATTTCAAGATTTATTTATTTAATAATGGAGTTTCATTTTGTGACGGTTTTATTTGGATTTTATTTAAAGCACCTTGGAAACAGTTTCTGTTTTAAATGTGCTCTATAAATAAATCTGACTTGACTTTTGTAAAGGTACTTTACAAAGTTCAGGGGCTTTTATTGTTTAACCTCGTTTTCATTTTAAGCGCTTTTTATTTCATGTTCTTATATTAAAATGAGGGGGGGGCACTTCCCCCAAGCTCTGACAGCTGTCGGTCTCACAGCAGAGAGGAGACCCGCTCCACTCCGTGTCCACACTGCAATGAATCACACCCTGGAACACAAAGCGGGATGTAAATATATGAATATATAATGCTCAGTTTCATCATGAAACCTTTGCATTTCATCTCAGAGTTCTCCACATTGTCCACTTGTCATCCGGACTAGTTAGGAAGCTGGAGCAGAGCTCAGGAGGGGAATACTTTGCTGTGATTGGTCAATAAAAGAGAGAAAACCACGCCCCCCTCATTTGAATATAAGAACATGAAATAAAAAAGGAGCATAAAATGAAAAAATGGGGTTAAAAAATATAAAAGCCCCTGAAATATGTAAAGTAGCTTTACAAAATAAAAAAGTGTCACAAAATGAAACTCCATTATTAAATAAATAAATAAATCTTGGATAATAAACTAAACATTTATATTTAAATGTTTTATTTCATGGGAACATTTATTAATAATTTAAAAACAACACTTTATTTATTGATTACATTTTGAATGAAACGGCTTTCCATACTAACGTGGGTGGGTGAGTTTAAATATTTTAACCAGGAATATTTCTGCTCACCTCTGCGATCTCCTCGCTCGTCTTGTCCTGGATCATCTCCAGGTTCAGGATGGAGCCTAAAGTCTGAAGGAAGACGCGACACGGAGTCAACACTCAACTCTTCTTTTCACATTAAAAGCACAAAAAGCAAAAGGAAAATTCATTTCGAACCGTTAGCGTCGATCAAACAGAACTTTCTGCTGCACGTGGCTCGGCTCACCTTGTTCTTGGTGAAACCTCCAGACGCTCCAGCAGCAGCAGACATCTTGTCTCTCTTCTCAAACTGGAAACGATCCCACAACAAAAACAGGTTTATAATCAAACTACTGAGCTAAAGACACAAATGTGAGCAAAGCTGTGGTAACAATCCTGGAAAGTTGTTTTTAATCAGGAAAATAAAGGACGGCTACATTTTCTTTTGGGGTTCTCAGTTTCCAAAGCTCCTTCCATATTTTGTGTTGGGTTCTGCACCAGGCCCGGATGATACTTCACCTCCTGCTCCATGAGCCGGATGAACTCCTCCTGCTTCGACTGTCCCAGGACCTCCTTCTTGGCTTCATGCCGCTTCTCCAGTCGCTCCTTGTACTCCTGCGGTTTGGAACTGGAAAAAGTGGAGATTAAAAACAGAGACTTCATCATTTGAAACACAAATTTTCCAGAAAGCTATTTAGCAACTAGTTAACATGTTTGTTTTCATTTATCCATCTATTAACTTTTATAACAAACCTTATGTCTATAAGGATTTACAAGTTTATACAGAGTTATTGGATGCTCTGTAAACTTGTGATTTAGCAATTCATACTCATTTTGCCAAACAAAATCTACAATTAATGCTGGTTTATTATAAAATTTTCATTATTTCAAAACCACGAACCTAAAGTCTGAAGTCTTAACATAAATTCGGCAGATAATTCAAACTTCCAGAGGAATTGTTCTGAAATTTCTGTGCGTTTTACTTTTTTACAACAGCCGCAGTGTTCAGAGAAAATAAAAGGTGAAGTTAAAAATAAAAAGGTGAGAATATTCAATATATTAACTTAATTAGAGCCGAATTTATCATCTGAAGGTACAACTTTAAGTGACATCTTCTGAATCACCACCGAGTTCAGGTTTTGTTGTAAACAACAGATTCGTTTTAAAATAACCGACGCGGTACCGGAGATTCGGACGATGCTAGCTCAGTTAGCCCGCAGACCTGCGCAGCTGGTGGATCTTGTCCTGGTACTTCCTGTAGAACGGGTTCTCCTCCAGATCCGGTTCCTTCCGAACAGAGAAGGCTCGGAACTGCAGCGGGACCAGCCCGGGGATCAACGTCCTGCTGCCGGTGGTCCTGACCGCGAACATGCCCCTGTACAGACATGACATTTGGACCAACGCCGCTGACATCTTTCCATGGCTCCCGTCCCACATCTATAACGTCCCGGCCGGGAACGAGTGGGCCACGTTGTTGGTTCCGGGACGAGACAACGAGTCGTGATTTTCTGTTAAATAACACTCTTCTTTCAACAGTTTTAAACATTTAGGTTGTTAGTAAGTAATAATAAATACAATTAATTTGTGTACATTTTAAAATACGAATTATTTTGTTTCGTGTTGATTATCTTTGGCATTTATTATCCTACTTATATTTTACGCGTATTGTATACAAAATCACATTAACTTCTCAGAGATAAAGGGAGTATCAAGTCACTAATTTATTCAGTAAAACAAAAACTTTTATAATGTTTCGTTTTTTTTTTTATGTAGGCCTATACAATTTCTTCCATTTACTTTTCATTTTATGCTTTATACGATTGTCATTTGTGCTCTTTGTTTAAAACAGCCACTCTTGTAAATTGTGGGCGGCTGTGGCTGAGTGGTTGGAGCAGTCAATGCAAGAGTTGGGGGTTCGAATCCACCAGCAGTGCCGAAGTGTCTCAGGGCAAGACACCGAATCCCTCGATGCCTCCGATGTGTGTCTCATCGGTGTATGAATGTGATAAAGCTCTGATTAGTCTCTTTAGAATTATTTGTTCAATTTCCTCTTCCATCAACATTTTTTCAATGTTCTGTCGGTGTTCATTTTGTTATAAGATAAGAAAACTACATGTCCCATCATGCTGCAGCCCTATCTGGAGGAAATATTCAGACATTTATCAATCTGTTTGCTCGGCTCCTGAGTTGGAGCTTTCTGAATGTAAGAAGATTTAAAATCTAATTATTTGAAGGAAATGTTATATTTCCTGGTTGTTGTGACGCACTGTGACCGGCAGAGGTCGCTGCAGACCCACATGTCTCCATCTTTAACGTCTGTTGGTTAAAGTCCTGCTTTCCTGTTGATTATTTCAGAAATAATCTGCAGCATACAGCTCATGCTTTCACCAAGTGTGTGTGTGTGTGTGCGTGTGCACGCCAGGCTGGCTGTAAGTTCATTTAAAGTCATGAAACTACATGTTTGTGTGAAAGTTTTGAGCATTTTTCATCACGTTTTCACTCAGAGAATAAAGACATCTTCATCCTCCGTGTCAGACCTGAGCACTCTCTTCTTTCCCTCTCTCTGTCCCCTGTCCCCCCTCCTCTTCCTCCTCCCTACAGTCTCTCCCCCCTTTGTCTTGTGGAGGGGGGGGTCCTGCATGGAGGATGTATATTTCATGTGCGGCTCTGGAGGCTTTTACCATTAATTATAGAGAAACACTAAGCTCTCCATTTGCCAGACAGATGTTATTTTTTACTTAAGGAGAGAAAGGCGACTGTTCTATAATTCAGAGGTAAATCCCGCTCAGCAAAGAACAAATAAATAAATGAATAAATAAATAAAGCAAAAACCACAAACATTTGGTGCTTTGCAGCCGATGCACAGGTTTCCTCAGACTTCTGCCTCTAAGTGCCTTCCACGTAATAAATATGGAACAGCTGCTCTACGCGTTCATTTTTTATTCAATCTCCCCCAAAAATCACACCGTCCCACATAATGCAGCTCCGCAGAACAATAGGAACACGGTAAAGAAAATCACGTAGCAGTGCAACAAACAACTGGTTTGAAAAACCAGTAAAACTACTGGGAAGACCAATTCACTGAATGGAAGCAGTTTCTGCATGTCAGCTGAGTCTTTTAGCTTTTTTTATCTAAAAATTATTTCTGTTTTGTGCAATTTGTTTCACATTTGAGGCATGTGCACAAATAAACAATGAAGTGATGTTTTATTTTACGGTAATGTGGTTAAATAAAAGTAGAGTCTGGTGGACTGGGAAGGATATGGTTTCAGGATTAATGTCTCATCAACCTTATCTTTTTCTAGCTTTTTGTAAATTTAAATGATTTACATTTTGTTTGAAAATGACAAAAGACGCAAACAAATGTGAAAAACCCAAAAACTACAATTTAAAGTTTGCAACATAATCGTTGTTGCTGATTTGTTAAAAAACAAAAAAAACCCACAAAATTTCCAAGTTTTCAACAACAAACTCACAAATATAAAAGTTTTTGTGTTTGGAAAAAGGCAAAAAAAGATTTTCAAGTCTAAATAATTAGGAATACTAAGATTTTTTTTGAGCGACAAGCACATACAGAAGATTAAAAAAATTAAACTTACACTTAAAACTGAAGCTAAAGGAAGAATAAATGTGGACAAACAACATCCAGATTTGAATGAACTTAAAAAAATATGTTTTAACAGCTACTACAAAGAAAACAATATTAACTAACTTTATTAAAAGAGAACAAATAACCATGTTGTGTGCACGACTGGAAATAGATTCAACTGAATTTCTTATTATTTCTTTGAAAACTTTAGGATTTCTCTAAATAATTATGAAGGCTGTTGTATAATTAACTGAATGAGAAAAAAACTTACAACAAAAGTAAATAAATAAGAGTAGAATGACTGAACTTCCCCGTGTTTATTACTGGTACTTTGTGTAATATAGTGAAAACGTATGGATGATTCCTTGTTTTGTTGCTCTAAAGATCATTTAAGAACCACAGACTTGATGCTTTGTGACCCGTTCTTTAGGGGGGGCTGCATCAGTGCATGTGCTGAGATGAAAGCACCTCCAGAAGAAAGATGCCACACGAGGGTCCAGAGTATTTAGTGAATGAATGAACACAAAATGGAAGTGATGAGGAGTTCAGCTCCACAGACGTTCACCACCGGAGACATGAAACTGTTTCACAGGAGCCTCACGAGCCTCGTGTAAACCCCACCGCTTCGTTTGCAGCACTTTCCAAATGGGACATAAAGAAAGTGAAGGAGGATTAATTCACATCGCATTGACCAAAGCCGTCACCGTGGAGACGGTGTTGCGTTGATTTGTTTCCTCCTGTCTGAGAGGATTTCACTCAACCTCTGGCTGTCACATCTGCCAACGTGTTGTTTTCCCTCTGAACGCAACATAAACAACAACTAGTTGTGATATTGATTTATTGCTGCAATAAACAAAACAAACAAACAAACAAAAATTTGTTTTTCTGGTGAAAAAACAGAATTTAATATAATAAATGGATTTATTTTAGTTTAATCGTCTTTGTTTGAACTCTGGATTTGTCCATTTAGGAAAAAGATTTAATGCAAATTAGTTTTTGGCTAACTGGAGTACATTTACATTTAACTTGTTTAACTATTTATTAACTGGTGTCCTTTCAGAGACAGCGTCCCTTTCTGAAACAAACAAACAAACAAACAAACAAATATGTGAACACACCTGGACGCAGCAGAGAAATCCAGATGTGTTTGAATCCTTCAAATTCAAACCAAGGACTTGAGTTCTCATATGAAAAAAATAAAAATAATATCCATAAATTGTTTAAAAACAATGTTGTCTTTTATGACAAAACTTCATTTATTGTTTGATTTAAAAGAAAACAGAAAAAATAGTGAAATGAAACATTTTGTTTCTCAATGTTTCACAACAGACGCTAAAGATACCATTTCATTTTAAAAGATATTTGATAATCATGTTATACTATTACTCCTTTATGATCTCAGTCAATTATATTTGTGTGAACATTAACGCTCCTTTAGTAGAAAATCAAAACCAACTCTGGGATCATTTCACTTTTTCAGCAGCTGCGTTAAAATTCACTCGCAACGCTTCATCATTTCACTTCGTGCCGGCCAGCACTGGTGCAGTCGACATTTTTTTGTACTGGGTATACTGGGTTTAGAAACCAAAGTGCACCAGTTAGTACAATGAATCATCAATTTATTTTGATTTTTAAGCATATTGAACATTTCCAAATGCCTCTGATGCTTATATTTGAATAAATACTCTGTACAACAGTTGGTTTTGTATTAAAAACACGTTGCAGATTTTATAAAACAGCATCAAAGCAAAACATGTTCAAGTATTACGTAAGTACAGAAGTATTAATTATGCAAAACTCAATGTGTCTATAAAATGTTCCAGATGTGTTGACAACGACACGAGCCCAGTAATATGTCACATTGGACACTTTTAAATGGTTTTACTGTAATTCCCAAGCTTTTCTAACGGGCGCACTCCACCACTGACCAAACCTGCTGGAATTGTTTTATAAAACGATTTGCTCGACTGAACCCTGAAAGTACTACTTTTTTAAATGTTTCCATCAGTTCAGCGCGATTAAAACCATTTCTTAAAGAGCAGCTTTAACTGAGAAATGAGAAAGAAGGCAGAAAACATCTTGGCTGTTAGAGTTGATGCAGCTTCGTGCTGGAATAAATCCTGCAGGCTGAACGTTCCTGTGGAGGATGAAAAGGATGAAAAGTAAAACCGGCAACATGTGTGTTTGAAGGAAACAGGTTTGCTCAACGTGCGACGACCGCGCTACACTTTCAGAAACATAAAGGGGTGGGGGTCCTGATGTTGTTCCTCTGGAACGCTTCAGTCTGAGTGGAAAACGATCAGGTTTGATTTCAAGCCTTGGGGTTTTTGGGGTCTTGGGACCACTCACTTCCTCCCTCTGGCAAACTAAAATCGCACCCCTGGGCTGGTGGATGACCCCGACCAACACCCCCCCCCCACACACACACACACACATGGATTCACACATAAAGGTGGCACTTGGAGAAGGAATCCCATCGTTTTAGAGAAGGATCCCATTAAAAGTTTATGAGTGTTTCTGTCTAGGAATCAAGACATCCACTCTGCTGCGGAGGCGATAGCTCAGCGTGTGTGTGTGTGTGTGTGTGTGTGTGTTATTTATTCATGTACACACTCATTCGAGCATCTTGTGGCAGGAATCACTCTTTTTGTGAGAGGTGGTGAAAGAAGAACATGTTTTTCTTTTATCTCAACCTTCGAGGACCTGTGTTCTTCGCAGATCATTTACGTGACCTTTGACCCCTAGATCCAACATCCTAAAAAGACACCTTAACTCTTTGTCAAGAGAAAGCAAATGACAAGCATCAGAGTGAAGACAGTCTTAGAGGAGAGAAGTCACTTGGTTTTCAC